CCCTTCTTTCTTAGTGCTGGCTTCTTTCATTGAGCTGTTGTAAAGTTCTGGTGGAGCGCTTTTTCTCTTTGATCAGTTCATCATTAGCTTGTTTGCCTCTTTTTAGTGTCTCTGAACATAAGTAGCCTTTCCAGTCCTCAGTAATTCCTGGGCATGCAGTGTCTGCCTCACTGCTTTCACAAATGTCCACAGCCAACAGTTTGTCCATTGTGTTTTTCAAACACCTTTTCCATTTGCCAGTGCACTCAGAGATGTCTAGTAGGTAAGAGACCACAGTCCCCCAAAGTCCATCCCTATGTCCTCTTAAGTAATATATGGAATTTAGCTCATAAAAGTCTTTCCTTCTTTCCCATTTTTTTTTCATCAAATGGAGACTCCTCTCATCTATTTTCTCCTTTTTACGGTTTAACAGTTTATTTTTCTCTAATTCACAATCATTTTATCATATGTAAATGTTTAATTTTCTATTTCTTCAGTGTTCTTCTAAATAATTTCTTTAGCTTCAGATTATGCTTTACTTTACATTTCTCCTCATCTATGCTAGTGTTCCTTTACTAACCGGTCATTTTTACATCGTAACATTTTCTATACTCAGTTTCTATTTTCTCACTGCTTGCATCAAATGTTTCTTCTGTTTGCCATTTGTCATTAACTTATCTTTTATTTTCTCTGTCACGTATTTTAGTATTGCATTTTTATTTCCATATCTGTTTTTCCATACCTGATTTAATTTAATAGTATTACATGGTGGCCCAATATCTGGAATAACTGTTAAAAATCATTACTGCTATAGCTCAAAGTTAATATTATTAATTAAATTCACATATTTATTTACTAAAAGCATTTTTCATTTTTGAATTGCAATGTTTACTTATCAATTTAGCTTCTTACTGCATAAACTTTTACATGTATTAATCTTTTAAACTCACTCTAACACATTCTTTAACATTTACCTAGCTTCTATGATTTTCATCTGAATCACTGTACTTTACTACAAACAAATGACATAGCTGACTTTGAGAAAGATGACAAAACATTTTTTTTTCCTTAAATCCAATCAAATTCTCTAAAGTCAATTATTTCTTTAAATTGTTACTGCTTTTTTCTTTTTATCTTATCTGTTCAATGTGCCTATATTGTAAGCATATTTTAAACATCTAATTTTATCTATGAAACAGTGGACTTATTTTTTCCTGTTTCTATTTTATTCTTTTTCCTTTCTGTAATTTGAGTTTTTAGCTCTTAGGTTTTCTTATACATTTTAAAGCTTATTTTGTTACACATTTTATAAATAAATCTTCAATTAATCACTATTTATTTTTCAAGTTTTCTTTTTCTATTTTATTCTCAATCAAAGAACTAACTTATATGTTATTTATTCATACTTATTTAGTAAATCTATTTGTTTATTAATACATTCTTTTACTCTATACTTCCTTTATCTCTATATATATTGATCACTATGACTTCATTTATTCTTTTTCATTAGTAAAGTTTCAAACTCTTCTATATAATATAACTCTATTATTAGTTTTTCCTCATCTAATTTATCTTACTATACTACTTTATAATTTATCTACTCAGTAATAACTTATATTCTATCCAAATTATGTTAATGTCTATGTCATTATTTCATCTATAGTTTGATCTCCTCTCATTAACTCTCCTCTTCTCTGTTTCTCTAGTGCTGTAAATAGGCAATCTATTGTTCACACATGGACACCATAAATCTCTCTCTTACCCCCATCCTGGAGCAGACTGTCTTTCACTCATTGCTATGTCAGTAATTTCAGTTCACTCTGCCTATTTTTCTTTTTTTTAACATATTCAAACTTAAAACACAAAGATAATTTCAGAAAAATGTTTATTCTTCTGCTTTTTACTCTGTGTTTTTTAAATGCACATGTTCCATTAGTTTTAATTTAAGAGACTCCTCTCTTTATATCATAATCTCTTCTCTTAAACTGCATCAATCACTATTCCTATTGTTCTTTAAATCACACCACACATATGCAGCCCTCCTTTTGTATTATAATATACTATAATCATTATTTTAACCTACTCCTTATTGAAAACATACTTTTAAACACATTCACACTTCTAATCTTATTACTTTTCCTCTTCTCATTCACTCCTCTCCTCCACTCAGTGTAACAGGAGCTGCATCCCCCCATCCTCATTCCATTCAAGGAGGAGGAAGGCAGTCTTCTCTGCCCACCAATGTGGACTATTTTGCCACAATCTGAAGCAGCAAATACACAAACACTTCAATTAAATAAATACTCTACACTACACTCCTCTTGAGTGACCTGTCCGAGCAGCCCTCTAACCTTAGAGCGGTAACCACAGGCTTTCGCCTACCCATGCAGCCCTTTGTTTATCTCATTTAACAAAGCGGTATCGTAGGTCTTAGCGCGCATCTCTCTACTTTAATCTGCTTTAATCTCTTAACTGTTACCACACATTAAGGACTCTCTCTTAAAACTTATAAATGCTCTATGCATTTCTTACATCATTATTAATTTCCCAAATCTGGGTAACAGTCACTAGTGATTGTTTATCCTATCCATCAAGGCCCACTTAGGAAAACACAGATCATTTGCATACCTTACTCTGCTTTAATCTCTTAACTGTCACAACACATTGAAGACTCTATCTTAAAAACCTATAAATGCTCTATGCATATCTTATATCATTAATAATTTTCCAAATCTGAGTAACAGTTACTAGTTAATGTTTATCCTATCCATCAAGGCCCTCTTAGGAAAACACAGATCATTTGCATGCAAATTCTTTTTCTTCTGTTATTCAAAACCCCTTTTTTCTTTAATATCTTTTTTACATTTACTTTTAATTCTTTAAAGCTGGAGAAACAGTTCAAGTGTATTTACCTGTACAAGCAGGTCCTGGCAGAAAAAACACAAACTAATAAGCATAAAATCGCTTACCGTTTTTTATTGTGGCCACATATTTGTGTTTTCTCTCCAGTCCAGCATGCACAGCAACACCAGTCCTGCTCCTTTCCAGCCCACCCAGAGGGACGCCAAATGTAGTGGTTTTCTTGGTTCTTCTCTTACTAAATCAAACTCAGTCTGGAGGTTATGAATATCAGAAGAATATACTTTATTGTCGACAACAAAGGAGAACTTTCAGGAGACCCCCAGTAGCATCTCTGTCTGAAAAATTCTAACTCACTCATGTTATGGCCTTATTTAAATACCCTTTTACATCCGTTGTTTTCCTTTGTTCTCCATATATTACACAAATTCCACCTAGGTTAACCCCTGACCTCAATTTCCACCTAGGTTAACCCCTGACCCAAACCTGGTAACTATATAACTTATCCAGTTCTTGTGATATGGTAATTCTTCTAATGGTATGCAAGTCTACAAGGTAATTCTTCTAATGGTATGCAAGTCTACAAGCAGATTATATACATACACTTTGAATATATATATTAACTTCACACTTTAAAGAGTATAAAATCCACCTCACAGGGGGGTTAATAAACATGACTTCAACTGTATATAATAATTCAGGAAGGCTAATAATTCTAACTTCAACTGTGTGTACTCATTTTCAACATTTTTTCAGATGTTCTCTCAGCAGAAAGGCGTCTACAGGACAACAGAACAAAAGAAACACACTTGTAATCACTTTAGAATGAATAGAATTGCGAGTAGATTTTTAATGAAATAAGGAAAACTGAGTCCAATTAGTTTTTTCTCTTTCTGTCTACATGGGCCCAGTAGTGCACAGCACAATGGCATTTTATAAAGCAATCATTAACTCACAACACAGCAAAATTTCCGAAAGCAAACTTTAAGCTTTCATTACTCTTACTCGTTTCAGTACTCGTTTTCAACATTCTTTCAGATGTTCTCTCAGCAGAAAGGTGTCTACAGGACAACAGAACAAAAGAAACACACTTGTTTGTATCTAGTTTATGTATGTGCTTTTGTTAGATGATACTGCAAATAATGACAAATATTTTAGCCAAAATCTGTTATCAATACCACCCTTTAAAATTAGGTTCATTAGTATTTTCTCTCCTCTAGGTTACAGCAACTAAGTTAACACAGGTGTACCACACTATTAAACATAACATCAGCTTTATCAGTGTTGGAGAGTTGTAAAAAAGAAATACTGACTGCATCTGTTCACACAGATGTCAATTAAAGACTAGTTTATTTCAATGTCTACGTGTTTACACTTTCCTGAAAACATATTTTAAGTTGCGATTTACCAACACTGACATGCTATTGGGCATGTGATTAGGGATGTGGCCCCTGCTGCAGTATGCGTCCCTTATTTTTTTGTATTAAAAGTGGTAACCCTAATCTCATGGGTATTCGCTCATTACACAGAAGTTGCAGACGATCATGACCTGAGGTAAAACCCACTTCTTGCTCATTGGTAGCAACAAATTGTAACAGATTTCTTGTGGTGTCTAGAGATTATTGCTGTTCCATTCAACCAGAAGTAATCTGTGTTCCTCTGCCACCTAGTGGTTGGGAGCATTTTCATTGCGTTGTAAGTTTAATGGGCTTGCGTCCTCGTGTTCTCGTGTAATGTCATCATCAGCTGCCAAAGTTTAATTCTAATACTCAAGACCGCAAGAACCGAGTACGCGTGAAATTTCCCAGATGCGTTCTTGATATCGAGGATGCATCAATGCAGACTTGAACACCGAACTCGCTCTAGAAGTCCCAGAAGTCATTGGGACTGGAGGTGGGAAGCGCAGCAATTTATTTAGATTTATTATTAAAGTTCAGAGATAGAACTTATTTATCTCAGGAGAGATATTATTGATTTAGGTTTCCCTAAATGAAACGGTGAAAGAAAACTACCATGAACATCTTAATAAAATAATAAACACATTGACAGTGGTTATTTGCTGAAATTTGTATTCAAATATTTTTTATTTATATTGTGCAACGTATATTTATAAAGTTTTTATGAATAGTATATATTTTGAAAAGGGGAAAAACAATAAATCATTGTATGAATGTTGTAATGTTTCTCACAGGACGTGTTCTCTGTTCTCGTGGTCTCCCGAGTTCGTTCTCGACACCTGGAAGTACTTGCATTCTTGGAATTGAGAAACAGCCAATGTTTGCTTTCTAAAAGTTCACTGAGTTGTGAGCTTAATGTATGCTTTTTGAAATGTTGTTGTGTTGTGCATTACTGGGCCACCATGCCTGCCTGCCCTTCAATGAAGAAATGCTATATATAACAGAGGGTAAATGTATTAAAATAAGAACCCACATCAATTCTAAATGTGACATCACCAGTCTGGAGCAATGTAGTTTAAGTACTTTAGAGCAACCTCAAAACCTAGAAAACAAGCCTAAAAGCAGGATAAAAAAAAAAAGACAATCAAGAGGGGTACATTCTAAAACATTTTAGCAATCATTTAAGTATTCAGTGTTTATACTGCACATTGACCTGGTACAGAATGCACAGAAAATGCCTGTAAAAAACTTGTTCTTTTTTGTGCTTTGGTCAAAAAAGTGTTACTAAAAGCTGAAAGTGAACCTAAACGGACCTTGACACAGTGATCAACTGATGCGTATGTACTCATAAATTGAAAAATTCTAAATGTTGACTTTACAAAATGTGTTGAAAGCATGGGTTTGTTTACTCACCGCATTAGCAGGAAATGCTCGTAACATAACTGCGCTAAAGCCTTTGTAGAGTCCTTGAGCTCCTTCCTCCTTTAACAGTGTTCTTAACACATGTCTTACACCTTGGTAACGCCCGTCTGTGGCTGCAGGACAGAGGACAAAACAAATGGATTCCTTTTAATATTTATTCTAAAAATTTGTTCATCAATGCTGGCATCACACTGGTCTGCATAATTTTTTTTAGAAACTATCTTCTTCAGAGATTAAATGTGCAATTTATTATGAATACTGAATTAGATTAGATGAATTCCTATATATTACAGTTCTATTACTAATATTACAGTTATTGTTACCGTACAACAAGAGTACATTTTGAGGAGGAAAAGTAATGTCACTACAAACACTGAAACTCGAGCTTACCATAAATAGTCAAATTTACATAGTGTCTGCACTGTGGCCTGCCAGTAATTAGGTATAAGGTAGTGGTTTAGATGAGGATCTCATTTTTATAGTAGTTTTATGCTGTTGTTCAGCTATAAGAAATAAATCTAGAAATCATATCTAAAGCAGAGAGAATGAATGTGACTGAAGTGATGCAATTAATGAGGGTAGGTCATGTCATGACAAATGGAGTTTTTTATTCATACAACTCACGTTCATACCATGTAGAACATGCATTTCAAATGGTCGTGTAGAAATTTAAATTCTAATGTAATATCTACTCGAGTAGTAGGTGATTTCAGATGCAACCCAAGTTTGCCCATGCCTGCATTTGGTTGTTATAGACAAACTAATACAGGGCTAAGCACAGGTGTTCTGACTTGATGAGTGGTGGTACACATTAAAGTGATGGAAAGATGCTCTGGAAGGAGTAGAGAAAAAGGAGTCTGGGGACTGCATGAAATTAGACTCTAGTGAAAAAACTCTAATGAGGTTTAGTAAAGGTGCCAGGTCATTTCTGACCAAAAGACAAATGGTGTTCACAGAATTGTAGGACAACATAAGGCTCAAGTCTATTAAAAGAGATGATTAGTAAATTTTAAATTGTCTATGTATTTCAAACATATACAAACATGTTCAAGTAATATGTTTTAGTTTTAACATAGTTTTATAGCGCAACTTTAATATATTCTAGATCAACATATTGATTTAAACACATTGCTTAATATAGCAGCCTAAATGTCTAAGCTGACTTACTACCTTTTGTCACGGTTGTGGATTCATCTGCTCCTTATTTGAAGTGTCTGCGTTGTGTGACAGTTCATTATTATGATACGTGTTTCTAAGTATGTGTGCCTTTCTCTCTCTGTGTTTGTGTGGGTGTCACGTGGCTGTCAGTGGGTGTTTGTTTTCATGTCATCAGCTGAGCGGTCACATGATCTTTGTTACCGGAACTGTTCCGTAGCGCCGCTCGGCTGATAATCAGCGCGCTACAGGTGTAGCGCATTTTTTGTGCCTATAAATGTTCAGCGTTCCTGTCTCACGTTGTCAGTTCGTTGTTTTGCTCACGGTTCTTTGTGTTTTGTCAGGCTCTTCTCTTCGCTGGTGGTGAGTGGTCTGGTTGTATTCCATGTTGCAGTATCTGATGCTTCCTGTTTCTTCCTGATGAATGTGTGATCCGCTCTGTTGATGAAGTACATCTGAGACATCCCGGTCTCTTCTATGACGAATGTTTTATCTGCTCTGTTGATGAGTTTTATGAACATTTGATCAGTGTTGCCGAACCAGACCACCACTATATTATTCACCTGTTCAGTGCCTCCAGCCACTCACCATTATTCTGTCTATTTGTGAGAACTATATTAAAAGACTTTGTTTTTTCTTGCAATTGGGTTCCTCATCTTTTATGTCACGTGACAGAACGAACTGACCAGATTTGAACCCAGCAAGTATGGAGGTTTCCAGCCAGACCATCCAAGCACTTTTTAATCAAATCACCGAGCTGTCTAATCAAGTTCAGCAACTCAGTTCGGGTCTCCAAGCCGGATCCACGTTGTCAGTGTCTCCAGTCAAACTACCACCCAGTCCTGTTTTTAATGAGAGTTCACGGACCTCCGAACCACGACTACCACCACCACAAAGTTATTCAGGTGAACCCCATTTGTGCAGATCCTTTATTACCAAATGCGATCTTTTTATATCACTCCAGCCCTCATCTTTTCCCACTGAGGCGAGCAAGGTGGCATTTTTAATCAACTTACTAACGGACAAAGCTGCATTATGGGGAACAATGGTCTGGGAGAAGAGACTTCCCTGTTGTGTGTCTTTTAAAGCGTTTTCGGAGGAACTCCGGGTGGTTTTCGATCCAGCGACTTCGGGGAGAGAGGCAGCCAGACGACTCGCTGAGCTCCGTCAGGAGGAGCACAGTGTGGCGGAATATTCTATCGACTTTCGCACCCTGGCGGCCGAGTGCGGGTGGAACAGCGAAGCGCAGTGGGACATGTTCTTTCACGGACTGGCGGACCGTATTAAGGATGAAATCTACGTTTTGGAGCTTCCCAAGACACTGGACGGTCTCATTAACCTGGCCATAAGGGTGGACAATCGCCTTCAGCGCAGGAGTGCCCACAGAGAGCTTCGTTCACAACGTTTGGCTTCACAGACCGGTTGTTCGGAGGCTACACTTCCTGTTCCAGAATCCGAGCCCAGACAAATGGGAGGATTTCGCCTCTCAGCGGAGGAGAAACACCGCCGACGCACAAGTGGTTTGTGTATGTACTGTGGGGTTGCAGGGCATTTTGCAGCCTTATGCACGGTCAAGAACAATAATTCACCTAATGGTAAGCGTTTTTTGGTGGGAGAGATTATGACTGGAAAGGACTCTCCCAATACCACATCTCTACCCATTAAGTTGGGATTTAATTCAAGTTTTCATTCCTGTTATGCGCTCATTGATTCAGGAGCGGAAGGGAACTTTATTGACTCTGATTTAGTTAATGAGTTAAAAATTCCTTTCTCTCCTCTTTCCTCACCCATAGCAGTCCAAGCACTTAGCGGATTATCTCTTCCAACCATCACACACATCACAGCTCCTATTAGACTTGTCACTTCAGGAAATCATACTGAAAACATTTCTTTCTTTCTTACTAAATCTGTTAATAATCCTGTCATTTTGGGACATCCGTGGTTGGTCCTACACAAGCCCCACATTAACTGGGGTCACAGTGCAGTTTTTTCATGGAGTGAGAGCTGTCATAAGTCTTGTTTATTGTCTGCTTGTTCCACTGTTCCTTGTTCTGTGTTTCAGGAGGAGCAGGTGGATCTGTCAAACGTGCCTCGTGAGTACCATGACCTGAAGAGAGTGTTCAGTAAGTCCCGGGCTGCTTCTCTACCTCCTCACCGTCCCTATGACTGTGCTATAGACTTATTGCCAGGTACGTCTCCGCCCAAAGGCAAGTTATATTCACTGTCTGTTCCAGAGAGGGAGGCCATGGAGAAATATATTTCTGATTCTCTAGCAGCCAAGATCATCCGCCCGTCTTCTTCACCGGCGGGGGCGGGATTTTTTTTTGTGAAAAAGAAGGATGGTTCCCTTCGCCCATGCATTGACTATCGAGGGTTGAACAGCATCACGGTTAAGAATACCTACCCTTTGCCGTTGATGTCTTCGGCCTTCGAGCGCCTGCAGGGGGCGAACTTTTTCACAAAGTTAGATCTCCGCAATGCTTATCATTTGGTTCGCATAAGACCCGGGGATGAGTGGAAAACAGCGTTTAACACCCCTAGAGGGCATTTTGAGTACTGCGTTCTGCCCTTCGGCCTTTCCAACGCTCCGGCTGTTTTCCAGGCACTCGTCAATGACGTGTTGAGAGATATGATAGATCAGTTTATTTATGTCTACCTGGATGACATTCTGATTTTTTCTCACTCTCTCCAGGAACACGTTCAACACGTCAGGCGAGTGTTGCAGAGGCTGTTAGAGAATGGGCTTTATGTCAAGGCGGAGAAATGCGTTTTTCATGCACAGTCGGTTCAGTTCTTGGGACATATTGTGTCAGTCGAGGGGATGCGCATGGATCCAGAGAAGATTCAGGCTGTGGTAGATTGGCCAACCCCAGATTCCCGTAAGGCCCTGCAGAGGTTTCTGGGCTTTGCCAATTTTTACCGGCGTTTTATTCGCAATTTCAGCCAGCTCGCCGCACCTCTGACTTCCTTGACCTCCTCCAAGATGCCGTTCAGGTGGTCCAGTGCAGCTGAAGCTGCCTTTTCCAAACTAAAAGGCTGCTTCGTTTCAGCCCCTATCCTCATTGCCCCTGATCCTTCCCGGCAGTTTGTGGTGGAGGTCGATGCGTCTGAGGTTGGGGTCGGAGCCATTCTGTCCCAGCGCTCCTCCTCGGATGGCAAGATCCATCCTTGCGCGTATTTCTCTCATCGATTATCTCCTGCTGAAAGAAATTACGACATTGGTAATCGAGAGTTGTTGGCCGTCAAACTTGCTTTGGAGGAGTGGCGCCATTGGTTAGAGGGCTCGGGGGTGCCCTTTATCGTCTGGACCGATCATAAGAATCTTGAATATATTAGATCTGCTAAAAGATTAAACTCCAGGCAGGCTCGGTGGGCATTATTTTTCGGACGGTTTAATTTTACGATCTCTTACAGACCAGGCTCCAAAAACATCAAACCTGACGCATTATCACGTCTTTTCGACCCATCGGATCGCTTGTCATCACCTGATCCTGTGCTTCCCCAGGGGATTGTTGTAGCGAACATTTCCTGGGAGATCGAGTCGAGGGTTCGCACAGCCTTGAATGGGGTAACGCCCCCGATCGGATGCCCACCGAGTCGGTTATTCGTGCCGGAGGAATTACGGTCCGACGTTGTCCGGTGGGGTCATTCCTCCAAGGTAGCTTGTCACCCAGGGGTGAGTCGTACGTTATTCGTTATCAAACAACGATTCTGGTGGCCAACTATGGCTCGTGATGTGCGCGATTTTGTATTGGCTTGCTCTGTCTGTGCGGTTTCTAAGTCTTCCAATCGCCCACCTGCTGGGCTCCTTCAACCGCTGTCAGTACCTTCAAGACCCTGGTCACACATCTCGCTAGATTTTGTTACGGGTCTTCCATCCTCTAACGGTAACACGGTAGTTTTGACCGTGGTGGACAGGTTCTCGAAGGCTGCTCATTTTATCTCTCTGCCCAAATTACCATCAGCCAGAGAGACAGCGGTTGCTGTCATTGATCATGTCTTTCGCATTCATGGCCTCCCGACGGACGTGGTTTCTGACAGGGGGCCTCAGTTTGTCTCTAGATTCTGGAGAGAATTCTGCCGTTTATTGGGGGCCACTGTTAGTCTTTCTTCTGGTTTTCATCCCCAGAGTAACGGTCAGACCGAGAGAGCCAATCAGGATCTTGAGCGCACATTGCGATGTTTGGTCTCGCAGAATCCCTCCTCCTGGAGTCAGCAACTTTCGTGGGTGGAGTACGCACATAATTCGTTACCAGTGTCGTCCACGGGCCTTTCTCCGTTTCAGTGTAGTCTAGGTTACCAGCCACCAGTTTTTCCCAGTCTGGAATCCGAAGTCGCGGTTCCCTCTGTTCACGCCTTTGTCCAGAGGTGCCGTCGCACTTGGAACAGGGCCAGACAGACCCTCCTCCGAGTGGGGACGCGCACCAAGGCTAAAGCCGATCGCCACCGGTCTAAGCCTCCCGTTTACGTTGTCGGTCAAAAAGTGTGGCTTTCTTCTAAAAACATTCCTCTCCGCACCGTTTGCAATAAGTTAGCTCCTAAATTTATTGGCCCTTTTATTGTCACTAAAATCATTAGTCCAGTGGCAATCCGCCTCAAATTACCTCCAGCGTACAGGAGAATTCATCCCGTATTTCATGTATCCAAAGTAAAGCCCGTTTTTCATACGGCAATTAATCCGCACACTCCAGTTCCCCCCCCCGCCGCGTCTCGTAGATGGGGAGACTGCTTATTCGGTTAAGCGCATTCTGGACTCTAGACGGAGGGGACGAGGATTTCAGTACTTGGTGGACTGGGAAGGTTACGGTCCGGAGGAGAGAAGTTGGGTTCCAGCCGGGGACATACTGGACCACTCTCTTATCGATGATTACAATCGCCAGGTAGGCTTGTCTGGGGACGCCAGGAGGCGTCCCTAGGGGAGAGGGTAATGTCACGGTTGTGGATTCATCTGCTCCTTATTTGAAGTGTCTGCGTTGTGTGACAGTTCATTATTATGATACGTGTTTCTAAGTATGTGTGCCTTTCTCTCTCTGTGTTTGTGTGGGTGTCACGTGGCTGTCAGTGGGTGTTTGTTTTCATGTCATCAGCTGAGCGGTCACATGATCTTTGTTACCGGAACTGTTCCGTAGCGCCGCTCGGCTGATAATCAGCGCGCTACAGGTGTAGCGCATTTTTTGTGCCTATAAATGTTCAGCGTTCCTGTCTCACGTTGTCAGTTCGTTGTTTTGCTCACGGTTCTTTGTGTTTTGTCAGGCTCTTCTCTTCGCTGGTGGTGAGTGGTCTGGTTGTATTCCATGTTGCAGTATCTGATGCTTCCTGTTTCTTCCTGATGAATGTGTGATCCGCTCTGTTGATGAAGTACATCTGAGACATCCCGGTCTCTTCTATGACGAATGTTTTATCTGCTCTGTTGATGAGTTTTATGAACATTTGATCAGTGTTGCCGAACCAGACCACCACTATATTATTCACCTGTTCAGTGCCTCCAGCCACTCACCATTATTCTGTCTATTTGTGAGAACTATATTAAAAGACTTTGTTTTTTCTTGCAATTGGGTTCCTCATCTTTTATGTCACGTGACACCTTTACTTTTTAATTTATATAATTTAAATTTATTTTACAATAAACTCACTTACCACTTTTGGTTTAATCCTGTATAAATGAAAATTAATTTAGAAGATGGCTGAAATAAGCTAAAAAAAAAAAAAAAAGCTTAAATAACTTGGGACGACATGAAGGAATTAACTTACTGGTTGTTACAAATTGAAGTGGATTGAACATAAAACAATTAAAGTTGTCCCAAAAAAGATCAAGAATTGTTGGTTCAATCATTTTAAATAAGTAGTCTGAACAAAGAGCAAGCACTGTTTTTGAGTGTATTATAGTATGTTACTGTGGTGTTGCACAGCTAGCAATTTATTTTGCAGATGATCATTAAACATGATGCAGGGTTTTCCTATGAAATACCACACAAAAGAAAAGCAACTTTAAGTGAATTGCTGGCATGAATCATGGACAATTGTGCAGTTCCAGCCTGATCTCACGAGAAAACGTAAGTATTTTACATTTTGCCAGTTTAGTGGCTAATTCGTACGAATTTGTATGAGTTCAGTCGTACGAAATGGTACGATTTTAAAAAGGAGGCATGGCACCTGACCCCACCCCTAACCCCAACCGTCATTGGGGGATAAGCAAATCGTACTAAATTGTACGAATTAGATCGTACGAATTCATACGAATTAGCCACTAAATGAAAAAGTTACGAATTGCCGTGAGATTGTGTTGTGCAGTTCTGTAGTTAATCAGTAAAATTTGCAACCATTTAATAATATATAAGTCGTCACTGTACCACATTTTGAAGAAATGTCTGTTATGTTGCCATACCTGATTGGTAGTTTGACTTCAGCACATCTGCAGGCAGAGCAATTAGCCAGTTTATCATGCCAGCAATCCCACCAGCAAGAAGAACTCTGGATGTGCTGAGGTGATGAACACTAGGAAAAGGATACATATATTTTAGCTTCAAAACCTCATAGTATTTATAAACAGAAATCTAGTGACACTTACCATTCTCCATCAGGGGTCAGATAGTGTTTTAAGTAGTCATATGTTAGAAAGTATACACCATTTGAGGGCACATCTAAATAACTCAAAAAGAAAATAGATGTTAGCATTTATCAATTCAATTCATCTTTATTTCTTTTGTGCTTTTTACAATGAGTAAAGCTAGTGGCTCTAAAGTCACATCAAGTCTTGTCAACAAGCATGGCTGCATTCCTTAACGCACAGTCAATTGCTGTAAATGCTAAAAAAGTCAAAACAGAGCAACAGGTATGAAAAAACATACAGGTTCACCTATACACTGTTAACCCTTACTGTAGATTATGCAGTAAATAACTGTAAAATAGCCAGTGTTTTGCAGTAATAAAAGGAAACAGTATTTTACTGTAAAAGGAGCAGGATATGATGAAATTTTGTAGTGCAAAGAATAAATTACAGTAATTTACTTTATGTACCCATTACAGATAGTTACTGTGATAATAAATGGTAAATTACTGCTCAACCATTATTACCCCATGTACTCTGATGCTTTATGTTGCTATATATATATATATATATATATATATATATATATATATATATATATATATATATATATATATATATATATATATACTGTTCAGTTTTGGTATGTGAATGGTCAGTATTGAGGAGAAAGTGAGACAATGCATTGATGATAAGCTAAATTTCTCTGCAGCCATCCCTGTGTTTTCTTTGGTTCCTTTTATGTTTTTAACATTGAGTATCAGGAGTCAACCAATGTCAATGTCACAGAGCTGATTAAAAGGTAAAGATATCGACGAGATGCATTTAAAGGCAAAAATATTCACACAGAGCAACCAAATTATCACAATCATTTTTATAACTTTGTTAACTTTTCTATAATTAAATTAGCCTAGTTTAGCCTATAGTCAAGCTTTTAAATTGCACTTTAAGCTGAATATTAGTATTTTGCTAAATAAAAATGTGTTATTTAAAAAATATCTTAAACAGCACGTACATACATTTTTGCAGAGACTCAATGAATTTGTTTGGAAAACTTCAAATGAAGTAGGTAAAAGTGGCATTAACAGTATAGTATAAAGGCTTTCCTAAATAAATGTATTAATCAGATTATTTGTTTTTATTATTATTATTATTACTACAGGTTTGGAACAACATGAGGATCAGATTATTTATTTATTTATTTTTTTGCTTTGGATGAAGTTTTTATATTTTTATTGTTTTTATTTAATGATATGTGCATGATTGTGATAAATGTAGGCAATTCCTTTGAAAATATGCTAGGTACATGGGATGTCGAACTCCTGAAGGGCTGCAGCCCAGCAGAATTTAGTTCCAGCCCTGCTTCAACACACTTCCTTTAGATTTAGTTTGATCAGGTGTGTTTAATTAGTATAACTGCACTGTTACTCTGTAGATTGTGCAGTAAATAACTGTAAAATAGCCAGTGTTTTGCTGTAATAAAAGGAAACATTTATTATTTATTAACACATATTATTTTACTGTAAAAGGAGTAGACTTTGTAGGAAATTGTGTAGTGCAAAGAATAAATTCCAGTAATTTACTTTATGTACTCATTACAGAAAGTAACTGACAATAAATAGCAAATTAATGTTCAACCATTACTGTCCCATCTTCTCTGACGGTTTATGTTGCTATTTATAGAGACAAGCATTTTAAAGGCAGACAATAATGATTTAGGCATCACCACACACTCCCACAGGTTGTCTGTCTTATTCTAAACACAAAGGTGTTAGAAAGAGTTTTCAGAAAATGCTGGCCCTTTAAGGGAGCCAGGTGTTTGATTTGTTTACTGCTAAGTATGCTCTATTCTCTGTCTATCAATTCAGATGTAGAGTCTGATATGTATTAGGCTTTAAATAAGAATCTACAATGAGTAAGTAAAATGTGTTCAAATGTTTTTGAGGGATTCTGAAATAAGGCTGTGTTTTAAGTTATATTGTTGTTATCTTGAACTGTGTACTTGAAATTTACATTGTTAGCTAGTTAGCCTCTCCTCATATAACTTCTTACATTACTTTTTTTTAAGTATATGTATTTATTGGATATTGCACACTGCCATAATGTACAGATGCTAACAGTTGTATGTATCTTTCTGGCAACTAAGCCAAAATTAAATTCCATCATCTCAGTAAGGGAACATGTGCACATCATCACAGGGAATCACAAAAACATGATACACATAGCCATCCACACACAAAAGCTCCACTGTCCGGTCCCAGGTTTGTTGCTAAGTATTTTTCACAACAGTGTTTCCACCTATGAATTTATATTACAAACAATAAAAAAGTTTGTTGTCATGAGATTATTATAACAATAAAAGACTGGATCCTTTGGTATTTCAGTGTTGCCAACTTTTTATTTTTTATAATTATTTTAAACTTTTTATTGAGATAAAATAACATTTAATTGACACAGTTTTTAATTATTTAAAACTTTAAAATTTTAAATAATTATGTTGTGTTTTTTGCTGTTCATTTGCTGATCTACCTTCTTACAGATTTCAGTTGCTGCCCATATCAAACACACCTAAACCAAGTAATTAGGACCTGAACACCACTTGATAATTACAGTCAGGTGTGTTTAATATGGGTAGCAACTGAAATCTGCAGGAAGGAGGATATCAAGGAATAGGATTGAGCACCCCTGCTAAATACCATGGGGGTCAAACTCCAAGTTCCTGGAGAACTGCAGGGCAGCAGAGTTTAGTACCCACCCTGCTTCAACATTACCTGTAGATTTCTAACAAGCCTTAATTAGTTTGATCAGGTGTGTTTAATTAGAGTTACAGCTTAAAGTCCTGGTCACACTGCACTTTTCTCCCTATAGACTTCCATTCATACGCATGTGAGTACTGCAGACCTGGAATGCTAGCTCATGCGACAAATTTCATAATTCGCAGCATTGGAAAGATCAAGCTTGGAGAACGCTGACATGCGAAATCACATCATGTGATTGCTTGAGACCAATCAAAGATCAAAACATGACCTCTCTGGCTTGCTTTTTCAATCTCTAATTATTTTGTTTAATTCCACTTCGCAGTGCAGTATGACAGAATTTTGCTTGCTCAAATGTTAATGTGACCGCAGCCTTACTGTGCAGACCTGTAATATGCAAGACAATATTTATATCTGCTGATTTAATTTTGTTATTCTTTTTCTGTTATTTATTTGTTTGGTGCCAAAACAATAAAATAAATTTGTCTAAAAAATGTTGTGCCTTCTATTTTTTAATAACAGCTAAGAATACTGATTCATTTTAGTAACACTACAATAACTATATATGACAGACTATTAATGTGTATGCAGTATAATGCTGTGATTTGTAAAACTACAATACAGTAATTAACTGTACAGTTTCCAGTTAGTTACCACTGCTGCTCTATTACAGTAATTAACTAGCAACACTGTTGCCAGCCACTCACTGTATCGGTTCAGTTACAGTAAATAACTGGCAACACTGTTGCCAGCCACTCACTGTATCGGTTCAGTTACAGTAAATAACTGGCTCACCGAAAAAAGAGTGCTTAAAAATAGAAATATCTTGTCACTATCTACATTACATTTACGTTACCAAGACAATAAGTGACTTACTTTAAATTTTTTAACTGTGCTCACTGATCCACACATGCATCACTTGTTTCATCTCGTTTTACACTTGAATAACTAAACAAATTTAACACACTATATTACAGATACTGGGAAAGCTACCCCATGAACTTGAAAAGAGTAAATCTTTTACAGGATGTTTTCAGTGGCTAAAAACAAGCACAGCAAACAGTGCATTTCTGCATTCGTTACCACAGCAACGCAATGAAACTCTCTGAGATCAAAGTTCCCATGATTATACTTTATTTATAGTTTTTTTTTTAGCTGGAGTTTACCTTATCTTGCTGAAGTTTATTGCCAATTCTCTTTACTTCAAAATGCATCATTATGCGCAAGGAATGTGAGCTGCAAACATATTTTTTTCCAAGAGCATACAGTTTGCTCTAAAGCTTCGGCAACCACACAATATCTATATTTGGTTACATCGAAAGTAAATGATGATGATAATGGATGCTGTTATTAAACTCAATATAAATCTGTATTCATTTCCCTCTTATGCCGAGCACAAAAGCAGATATATTAATAAGAATGTGGGCGACCAAAGAGCTGCTAGCTGTTGATAGCAGGGAAGAAAATACTGTAGAAGTCAGAGTGGAGCAGCAAAAATTGGGTTACACAAGTTCTCTTTAATGTTAACAAAACAACAAAACATGCTAAATACTTCTACTGTAAATGATGTTTTTTGTATATTATGTGTATTTGTAATGTAAATCCTGGCCATTAAAAATATATTAATAATTAATTGTCATTTAGGTAACTATCTCAGTGATTCATAAAGGCTAAAGGCATTAAAACATTTCTTATTGCATTTTGAGATAATTTTGTTAAAAAGTTTTTTTTTTTTTTTAAGGGAGGAAAAAGTGATTGAAACTTAGGCTTACTATAACATTTAAGTATTGCTATGTATTCCAATGTATATTACATTGTACATATCCAACATAATCAACATAATTCCTTTCAAATGTAACGAAATTAAACAGATAATACAAAACTAGGGAGTAGGGGAAATATACCAGCAACAGAGGGGCACAATGAAGCAGGAGAAGATGACGAGGAACTTTAAATATCTTCTCAAATGTGTTTTGATTTTACATTTGGTTGTTTAAATGATCAAATTCTTCAATTTGACCGTGGCCTACGTAATACCAATGTGTGTGAGTGAAAAAAAAAATAAAATTCTTAGGTGTGTCGGTTTAACCAGCAGGTGTAAATTCCACCACAAAAGATCCTTCAGGAAACATTCTATATATATATATATATATATATATATATATATATATATATATCATCATCATCAGACATGCAGCAGTTTTTAATTTTTAGCTGCCATTACCTGCACCTGAAGGAAGCAGTCACAGAACACAAGAAAGGCCATTCTTCTATAATTTTAATATAACCTTTATAGTATTATTTATATATTATATCATTTTTATATTAATAATAAAATCAAACTATTTTAGGATAATGTTCGTTTTAATTTTGTTGCCAAACTGGAGGATAACTGAGGTCCATGAGTGAGAATTCCTTGTCTAAAGCTTCTAGTTATTTTTGAATAAATATTTTTGTTCACTCACAATTGAATCTTCATATTCATTTACTGTTTTTTTGTTAGTTGCTCTTTTTTCACTTTTTGTAAATAAAATGTAATTAAATACAATTGTGTCTTGATAATAAAGTAAGGGGCTCTAGAAGTTAGGTTCTCATCAATTTTTCAGAAAACTGATCTGATCATCCAACCACTTAGCTTAAGAGGGAAAGTGGTTGGCAGATGTACTTATAAACTAGCCCTGCAGGGCTAAATGTCATTTTTAAATTTAACACAGTGATTGGGGTTGTCAATCAAAGTTTAAGTGAAAACAATCAATGATATTTACCACTGTACAGTGCACACACCTCTGATTAAAGTAAGAATAGTTCCCTTGTAGACACTGCAAATGCCCTGTTGTTTATAAAGTCTGACAGCACAATCTAATGGTCCAGTATACTTCATTCGACCAGCCAGGGGCAGGATCTAAAATACACATAAAACAATATATAGCCTATTCAATACAGATATTACACAAACAATAAATAAAAAAATATATAGCACACTGGAATTTATCATTTTTGTGTGTCAGTCGATAAAAAGCTGATAAAGTTGTGCGCGACAAACCAACGGGCTCCTCTAACAGATGCAAGTAAGAAGGACATTGAGATTGGCAAGACAATATACACAGTAGCCTCTGGTGGATTTTCAAGAAATGAGAAAAAATGCCCCAGTAAATATTGGAGATTGTCAAAAAAATGTATATGGTGACCTCTCAAAAACTGAAAAAAAAAATGCACACTTAGCTCAGGGTACATATTTTTCAGTTTTCAAACATGTAGCCCTGGGCACATATCTCCAACAAACCGAGAATGCATAATGCATGTTTTTTTTTTTTTTTTTACTTTTGTGAGTAAATTAGACAAATACATTTCTCTTCTTGTGCTGTCCTAAGACATGCTGGGTGTTTCAAAGAAAACTGGGATTAAATATGGACAAACAGCTGAAGTGTTACAATTTTAAAAGATTCTTAAAATTACATTTTAACCCTAGGGTTGATTAAAATTTGCAAGCCAGCAGTTTAAGCCTTGTTAATCGTAAATGAAAGTCAAGTGAGCTATTACAATGTGGACACAGAAAGACAGAGGTGATATAACAATTGTCCAAAGCACTTATTTATGAGTCTTTTTTTGTCATATTAAATTTATACTGTGGATTCAAGTGTACAGATTAGGATATTGCCCTACCTGAAGTAAACACTTGATTCTCTCTCCTGGGGCCACAATCACAGTGGTGCACACCCCTGCCAGCATCCCAGCCAAGTAGATCTGTGTGTACCTGACAGAAGTTGAGTTAAGGCCATAAAATAAGTAAGGCAGTTGTTGTTGTCTGCATTTCATTTCTTAATGAAAACAGTGTGAAAAAAATCTGCTGTCTGCTGCAAAATGAAGACAAACACTATAGCTTCATTAACACTACAGATTTTTAAACTGTCATTTAGATTTTTATATCAAATATAATGCAAAGAAAAGTTATATTGAGATAATTAGGTATAGGGAGGACAGAAAACTGCTTTTCCTGAAACAAATTTCCAAAGATTTCTCCTTCTGGTACTGTCCTCAATATATGCAAAAATGTTAGATGCTTAGGAAATGCTTTAACTGATGACCCTGTCTGATGATAGGGACATTTACACACAGTGTTGTATGATGTACACTCAAGCTTATTTGCTGAAGTGTAAATTCAGTGTGTGTGTTCAGGAGAGCATGTTGCTGTTTTTAGAGTATGTTGTAAAATGCCAACTTAGTGTAGCATATAAAGTTAAATTTTCAAAATGCTACAGAGATGTAAATATTTGATGCTGTGAATTGTGTTATTTATTTATTTAATTGTATATAGTTGCCTTGTCTTGTATTATCACAACTAGTGTTTGTCTTTTAACAAACTTACAAACAGGACATTAAGTTGAAATTAACACCACTGTAAAATCCAAATATCAACAATTATCAAATGTACTCTCCCCTATACTAACGTTGCTGGTACAGTTGGGTCACGTTGCAGAAGTTCCTTTCCCAGTCCAAAGCCAAAGAAATTCAAAGCCATCATTGGAGTTACACCAGCTAGTGGAGCACCCATTCCTTTATACAAGCCAAATATTCCCTGTAGACATAAAAACAGGAGTAAAACATAGACTAGGACAGAGAAAATGTTTGTTAAAGGTGATAGTTTACCCAAAAATAAAATAATCATTTATCATTTACCCATTATTTGTTTCAAATCTTTACGAGTTTCTTTCTTCTGTCAAATGCAATAGAAGAGATTTTGAAAATCAGTTACCACTTTCATAATATTTCACAGTTACCTGACTTTTATAGTATTTGTTTTTTGGTACTATGGAAGTCAATTGTTACATGTTTTCATCTTTCTTAATAATATGTTGTTGCTTTTTTGTGTATTCAAAAAAGTTTGGAACCACTTTAGGAAGAGTAAATAGTAAGATTTTTGGCTGAACTATTACTACTACTAATATTGAAATGATACAATTAATGACTAGTTCTATTGAAACATTTTAAGCAATTAATGACTTTCATGCAGGTTGCAGGTTATATAAATATATATATATATATATATATATATATATATATATATATATATATATATATATATATATATATATATATATATATATATATTTTTTTTTTTTTTTTTTTTTTTTTTTTTTTACTGAAATGTTTATATAACATTATACTTCCTGTTTATCCTCAGAGTTGTTGTGCCTGGAATAAATGTATTTATTACATTGAAATTACTTTTGTATAACACAAGGTTTAGTATCTAATTTTATATTTTAAAGCATCATTAAACTGACTTGTGCTGAGTAACAGCAACACTGTTGTCTTTAGAGCCACTTTGAACTCTTTTCAAACAGTACCAGATAGATTTCAGGCAACTTTAAACACTGAAATGAAATTCGGTGTCACTGTCACAGAGACAGGTTTGATTTTCCCTGACACCCATTTATTTTATATAAAAAACATTTGCTTGCAGAAAGCTGTTACCTCTTTGGACACAGTCTTTCGAAAGCAGTCAAATGTTCCTTTGTAGACAGCGCAGTCCTGTGTTTGTAGACGGACCTTTAGAAACATGAATACTGCATGTTTAACAACAACATATCAATCTTGGAAGTGTTATAAACAATGTGAGATAAAGCATGGTCTTGTAAGTACTGATAGACTATGTCAGTAAAAATGGCTGTTATCTGTGTTGCTTGCTCCTTCTGTGCCTTTTGGATAACATATCTCCAGTCACAAAATTTCCTTCAGTTAAAATTTCTATTTGACCATGTTACTTCATCTTTCCTCAAAACATTAACCACTGTAAAAGTGCAGATGTACAATACTTAAGGAATAAAAGAACACTGAAACCTAGAGAAAAAGAATAAAGTAAAATAAATTCATGCATTAAGTAATATTCGCCTGTATAGGGTAAATAGTTGGCAACCTGAATATAGTCTGTCAAAAAAAACTTGGTCTGAGTTAATGCTCCATTATTCCTATACCTATTCTTTGTATTCTACTGTAGTATCAACAAGTAGATCTATTATTATGCTTGTATATTTAAATGCAAAGCAACACAACCTCCAAAAACACTCCTGGGCACAAAGTAGATAAAGAAAATTAATAATTTCACTCATATTTAATTGACAACAACCATCCTTCTCGTCTTGCAAGTGTTACCTTGATTGTGTCCAGCGGATGTCCAGCAAGTAAGAGACATATGCCACCAAACCCTCCTGCCACAAAATTCTTCAGAGGAGAAACTCTTCTGTCTGACTCCACAGTATCCATTATTATTATTTCTACAATTCTAACAAAATTTCAACAAAGGTACACTACATCAACTACATACAACTACATCAGAGCTGTCTGCTCTTTGACCATCTGCTCTCAATGGACTTTACCACTATTACCCTAAACTTACAGAAACCCATTAAGCCCTCTGCAATCGCACCTTCTAGAGGCATTGGCATGAATTGCATGAAAATGCTGTTTAAAGCCATGTCTCCTTACCGTTTTTATTGTTTTTTTTTTTTACAGAGAAATTTAAACAAATATTATTCCCACCCCTACCCTCTAACAAGTTAAAAATACATTTATCTAAGAGTTAAAAGAAAGAAAAAAATAAAGAAATAATAATAATAATAAATAAATAAATAAATTACAAAATAATGAAAAAAAAAATCAAAAAATAAATAAATAAATAAATTGAAAGATTAAAACATTTGACAAAATACACATATACCTTGATAACCCAATATTACAAACATTAATCCTCATTTTCAAATTATTTGAAAGGTCCTAAGATTTACAGTCTGGAGAAATACTGGCATGCTCAGAAAAGAAAATTCTAAATGGGTCCCATGTATCAGAAAAGCCTAGTATTGCGGTTTATTGTAAACCTCAAAATGAAAATCATTTTTCTCAAAATGAGTGAAGCTCATTATTGCATCTTGCAACCAGTTGTCTAAACTCGGGGGAAATCTTTATTTCTACAAAAAAAAAAAAAAAAAAAAAGCATACACGATATATACATCTTGGAAAATCTGGATTTTAACGACGTTTCTAAGTTGCAAGTGTCTAAAGAAATAAGTGCTATGAAGAGATTATTATTATTTATTTTTTTTTGTATTAATTGTGGAAAGCTGGGGAAAAAATATCAATATAAATATCACTGACAGTGGAGATCCCAGCTCTTTGCCAAATTGACATCTTAGAATTATAAGGTTCTATATTTTATCAAAATGTATTTGTTCACATATTCTTATTAAATGATAACTTATTAAATGATAACTTTGTGATTTTTTATAAGTTGTTTACATTTTAAAACCTTTAATTAAAAAAAAAAAAAACAGTTTATCTAAAAAGTCGAAATTTTGCTTGGCTCTATAAGGTTTTTTTCTGTGAGCCAATCAGCATTCTTAATCAATTCTTAATTTGTCATTTCGCCAGACTGCTCCATTGACAGCGGAAAAGACCAGAAAGATCTCACAAAATCAAAGTCGGCTAAATCATGCTGCACCACACACAATAGAGATGTGTGTAAATTTTATGATTTAGAAGCATTGTTTGACACTGAGACGAAATGTTAATTTTACATTGTTGAAAAAAAAAATATATATATATAAAAAAAATAACTATACAATAAATGCACAATAGTTTTACTTTTCAGTGTTTATTATACTCATTTGACTTGGTTAAAAATTTTGCATTTCAGATGACTTGGTTAAAAACCAAGGGTTTTAACGAGTCATCTAAGTCATACTCCAAGCATTGACCACCACCTTCAATATAAGTCAACTTTTAAATAAGACCAAAATAAATAGAAAAAAAGCATAACAGGAAGTTTACCAAAACAGTGGCAATATAGTTGGGATGGGGATATAGCGGGTAGACATTACTATAGAATACAAGAGAAAGTAGAAAATTGGAGGATAAGTAAAGGAAATAATCAAACAGAAGGAATAATAACACAGTTAAAAAATGGGAAACACAGGTTAAAATAAAACATTACATTTAATAGGAAAACATCCAACTGGATTGTGTGATAACTGTCAGGAGGAGGAGTCAGTCAAACACGTTTTATGTCACTGCAAGAAATTCATAATAGAAAGAGAAATATTAAAGAAAGAAATTATAAAACAAAACTCTTCAGAAATCAGCATAAAAATTAGACTAGGAGGTTATAACAATGAAAGTTTAGTGAAATACCTAAGAAAAACAGGATTAATTTACAGAATTTAAAAGAATAAAGATTCAGGTATATGTTAATAGGTTTTTATTTATAAGAGTTTTTTTCCCCTTCGGGAGGTAGCTAACTTAGGCTCACACGCCAGTAAAGTAGGTGGCGGTAATGCACCTAAACGTTGGTTGCTGACCACCATAAAACAGCAAAGAAGAAGATGTACGTTTGCCTTTTAGCAGGGGTCATACATAGATATATACATTAGATGTCGCCTACCCTATTGTTGTCTATTGGAAGGAATGCGTCAATAGAGCCGCCATTTTGGAACAGATATACACATATATCTATGATCGGGAGTTTTCCTGAATCTTAGTATGCGATTTTTTTTTATCACGAAGCTTATCATTTTACATCACTTTTCTACATTGATTGATCAGTGATCGCACTGGCATTCCTGACAAAAAGCTTGTGTTTGTGTGTTCGGAAATGTACAATCCACCCTTCCTATTAAATTTGATCTAATCCGTGTCCTGAAACACACCTCCTCTCCTGCTTTCACTTCTCATACTGACGGAGGGAGCGATTCGTTTGTGAATGAATCTCCGTTATGAACGACTCCTTCACTAGCCGACAATAATACTAGTTTCTGGCACAGCAGCATCTCGTAGTCATATTTCTTTTGCATTGTTTGCTGATTTTATTCAACAAAACTATCATAAGCGTGTTTAGTGCGAGTTGGAGCTACTCTGACTTTTATGGTGAATGCAGTAAGCAACTGTATCATCAATAACGTTACCTGTTTAGCACAAAAGTTCAGAACATACAAAAACGTAAAAAACTTAATCTTACTTATGAAATGTTCTGCCTTTGTTTTCTTTGTTTGTTCGTTACTACACCCGTAGACAGCGCTAAAGTCCCGCATCTTCACGTAATAACACTGTCTTGACTAGTGCGGTTGAATGACATTTGTCCTGGGAGCACTGTACCAATGTGGCGGCGCCTATTGACGCATGCTCAGGGTCCCTATGCGATATTTAGTGTATATATCTATGGGGGTCATTCATTTGATTCTTAACATCATTGTCCAGCAGATGGCGGTGTGAGGATGGTCAGCTGTTATCTATGCGTTATTCACCAGCAGCAGAAGAAAACAACCGGGAAATTGCGTTTTGGCGTTTGAGCTCGAGTTGTAAATAGTTTTAAACATCAGTGAAAGGTTGTTTTAATATCATCCGGCATTGTTACCGGTCTTTACATAGTTTTACAACCGTTGACATTGTATCGTTAGACGCATTGATCTTGGTAAAATCTTAACGTTTTTTTTATTAATTACTCAGGGTCCGATAGCCATGTCTCAGAGGAAGAAAGCGACTTCAGCTTCTCAGAACAAAACTCAGAGAGTAAGAAATCCTATTTACTAACGACATGATATTCTTGTTATTGAATAATAGTAGAAGTGACTTTAAACTTTAATTGTATTTGATTGTTCTCTCGAATTCAAACTTGCTTTATTGGCATGTTAATACACAAATGCCAAAGCATTTGTTATATTCACATTAAACATAACATTAGAAAACAAAAGTCAATAACAGATAACAGTATATTTTACAAACAACAATTTTGGAAAAAATCATAATAAACAGTACTTAAACCATCAACATTTTAGGATAACGCAGTAATAATAATACAGTATCATAAGCAAGATATTTAACAGCCACCATTTTAGGATGAATCAACAATAATATATTATAATTTACTGTATATTTAACTTAAATTAAACAAATAAAACTTGTCAAGTATAGCCAAAGAATCACAGATTGCATAAACAATGAAAATTATAAAATGCATACTGTATACATGCAGAAAAAAAGCACACAATTAAAATTTAGAAAATGCATGTATAAATAAGAAAAGAAGTATTATTTATATAAAACAAAACAAATTGCAACACACACATGGTTTATAATAATGTTGTAATTCTCTCTCTTAATTCCCTGTAACTGCAGCGATCACAGTTATTGCTGGAGGAAGATGAGGATGCAAACTTCAGCCAAATAACATCATCACAGGCTCAGAGAGCTCGAGAGAACTTCACGTCTGACCAGATAGACCACAAGGTAGTCTGGTAATTGATCTTTAGTGTTGCAAATGTTAAAGTAAAGATAAAAGGGTTCAATCAGGGTGGTATGGTTTAACTGGTGACTACAGGGCTCTACGATAACTTTTTATTTTATTGAAGTTGTAAGAACACTAGGCTTGGGCGGTGTCCAAATACAGTCAAACCTCCTACCTATTTTACCTCGGTATCTGGTATTACCATGCATAATAAAAAAAATTATGACTTAAGGCTCAGACAGCTTCACCAAACTGTTGACTTGTGCCCAAACCATTCAGAAACTGAATACCGCATATGCGACCTCAGGTTCGCGGTCACCTGTTTATCTTGTTCGTATTAGAGATCTGTGCGGGACGCTCTCTCTCATTCACACACACACACACACACAGAGAGACAGCACAAAGCGACGCACATCACCACACTCTCTCTTTCTCATTCACACACACACTTAGAGAGCACCAAGCGACACACAGCTTCACGCTCTCTCTCATTCGTTCACACACACACATACACAGCATCCACGCAGATGCACACGTGCCCGCTCGCTCGGGAGCTCCCTTTCAAATTACACCAGAGTTACCGACCGCTCCTGTTGTTTTTTTGGAAATTTATTTCTGTACCGCAAGAATTCTGGTCGGGTCCTGCAGCTCCTACGGTACAGCAGCGGGAATGCAGACCTCTAGTTCAAATTTACCATGTCTCCCTTGTTCGGTCAAAACTTCGGAAATACTGCCAAACAGCAGGTCACTCGCACGACTCGCCATCTTACCTTACCTTTCTCTCTCTCCTCCACACTGTGCCATGATGATAATCATGCATACGCATTTGTAGGCATTAAATAAATAATATTTATTATTTAATACTTATATCCTATTTAAGTGCATTGTTTTTTATAACGGTATTGAAATAGACATTGTTGCTATTTTTAGATCCCGCGGTATACCATATTAAGGCCCAAGCCTTTAGTCGCTGAAATGGTTGCACTGTAAAGCCCTGAACCGTTTGGTGACCCTTTCCAGATATAACTTTTCCCATTTGCAGATTTGTCAATTTTTCACTGCTACAAAGCATGCCCATAAAATTAGATCTAATTACTTGGTGTTGGTGTTATTGTAAAGATGACAGAACAGCATTATACCAAAATAAATATAAAAAAATGATAATTTAAATCTACCGGATTCAAACTCGTAAAGTAAAAAATACAGCAGGAGTATCAAATAACCTGAACTGTGCTAATCAGGGCTACATGTGACAAAAATTGTTTTGATATCTTA